GAAAGGATTGCGCGGGGGTTCCTAATTTGTGGCTTCTTAGCGGATGGGGAGCACCCTTCTTCGGGTCCTCCTCCCTCCTGGCCATCCCACTCTCGGGAGGAGGTGCAGCATTCCTCGCCGCATCTCCTCCCTTTTTAGGAGCAGGAAGCTTGAGCACCGCCACAGCCTCTTTTCCCTTACCCTTCCGGGTTGACACGAGCGTCCACCTGTCATCGCGTCCCACCCCAGCAGCTGCCGGTCGCCGCGGAAGGACCGAGGGGGGAGGGGGTCCCTGCTGCCGCAGCTGCGGGTGCTGGAGAGGGAAAAACCCTCTCCAACACCCGTCTAATGCGGGCGACTCCCGCCTTGATGACCCGTACTTGGATTTCCAAGGCCGCAAGGCGTCCATCGGGGCCCCCCTCCCCCACCATGTTCTCGTAATTCGCCAGCGCCTCCTCCACATTGTGGAGGCAGGTGTTGGCGCATTCTTTCAGGGCCGAAAGGGGCCTGCCCTTGTAGCCCTGCATCGTCTTTTTCCCTGGCTCAACCCGGAGATCCCTGAGGTATCTGATACCGTCGAGAGTTTCGGAAGCCTGGGATCTCTCCACCTGCAGGGGTCTCCGCACGGGCGGAATCCCCCACTGGTGTCGACGCCTGCCCACACATTCATCTCCTCCCTCCCGCGAGTTTCGGAGAGGAGTTCCCCCGACCGAGGACTCATCGTCCTCGACAGGAGGGAACTCCTCTCCCGGGAAGAGATGCTCCCATGTCTGCGAGGCGCACAGACCTGCGGTCCCACCTTCGCGCCTATAAGAAGCTGCACTCCCCTCCCCAGGTAGACCTTAGCATCCCCGAGCGGAGGGAAGTGCATCCCCTTCTCCTGCCATAGTTGGGAGTCGGACGTTTCCGCCTTCCGCTTCCTCTTTTTAGACGATTTTGGACCGGCTGCGGCCAGGAATGGATCTACACGATCCATTCTCGGCCTCAGTCGGTCCTCCATCGCCTCCCTTCGGGCGGTAGACCGTTCCAGGAATGTGCCGCCTGGCACACATCTCCTGGCCCGTCGCATCATGACGACGAGGGGGCGCCGGGACAATACAGCCCCTCGCCGTTCACCAGCTCCGAGTGCTGGGGGCCTTGACTCCTTGTTGAACACTACTCCATAAATGCAGGGTTTTTACGTGCCCCTGCAACACGGGTACAATTTCGGGGTTTTCCTTCCCCTAGACCGGTTGCCTGCTAAGGATAACGAGCCCGCTCTGCCCGTGCTGTAAGGTCCTATGGGCCCCACGAATGAGACCCTCTAGACATTGGTTAAAACCTGGAGGCAGCTGCCCATCCAGTAGTATTATGGACGCTCTTAGTCTGGCCCCTCCGTACAGACAACTCCAGCAAGGTAGAACCTGCCTGGGGCCGAAACCCCCGCCGGCACAGCTCTGTACATCATAAGGACACGCAAGCTCCCCCACTGCGGCAACGTGGCGTCCACGTGGGAGTCGTGGGCGCCACCTTGACATGATGGGGGGGCTTGAAGGTCCCAATGACGTACAGAGATGTGCCGGCGGGGATTTCGACCCCAGGCAGGTACTACCATGCCGAAGTGGTCTGTACAGAGGGACTCTTTTTTCTTATTCACGCAGCGGCAAATCCATCATGGATACCCCCGCCCCCTTGGGGAGGGGCGGGGGTTATGTCGGACTCTCAGCGACTAAAACCCCTGCGGGATGTCTACCTGTCGGACCGTGAGGAGGGGAGTTAGGGGAACTGCTCCAGCATTCCCTCCCCAACCCCCCGGCCCCAGGGCTCTAATCTAAAAGCCCATCGCCATCTTGTGCCGCACCCCCTACCCCTTTCGGAGTTAGTGGGAGAGGTACAGTCCCCGGCGGGTAGCCCCGCCGGTTGGCCTTCTGGTGTCACCTTGGGGAAAGGGGACATCTACCATTCCTCCTTATCCCCCCCTCTTCCTTAAGGAAGAGGGAGGGATTTTGAGGAGGTGGGCCCGACCCCAATCGGGTTACCCACCTCCCCCTTTTCCCCCCTATGCAATCATTTAGAGGAGCGAGAGTTGTCCTCCCCGTTCCCCTCTGAATGCCGGAGCCTGGCCCGAGGTGGCCGAGGGAGGCGCCGATCCGTGTAGGCTGGCGCCCTCTCCTCGTCTGATGCCACCTCGGGCCCGCTTCCGACTCCCCCTCCCCCGGGGGAGCGCCGGCCTCGCCGTCCTCTCCGACGGCGTTTGCCAGCCCGGCGCCTCCACTCGGCGGCCTCCTTCCGGGAGATTACCCCCCGCAGAAGGAGGCTGCCGCGTCCCACGCTCTCTCGCTCCCGCATATGGCTCGCACCAGGTGCGGGAGCGAGAGCTCCCCGCCTTGGCAGTCCACCGTCCTGAGCAGGACCCGGCGCTGTTCCTCCAATGCTGCGCAGGCAGCTAGGGTGTGCAGCGCCGTGTCCTCTTGCTCGGGGCAGTGGTGGCACAGAGCGGTGGGCTCCTTCCTTACCCGGTGCAGGTATCTCCCGAAGCATTCATGCCCGGTCAATACCTGCACCAGGTGGAAGGACATTCCACGCCCCCTCCTGTCTGTAATTTCTGACAGACGGGCGGACAGCCTCGGCCGTTGCGAGACCGGACCCTTGGGGGTCGGCTAGCAAGCATTCCCACCGCTCCAGGGTCCGGTCTTTGGCCTGGGTCATCAGGACTTTCAGGCCCTTGGCCGTCAGCTCTCCCCCCTCGCGGAGCTGCTTTACCCGCTGGTAGAGGATTCTCCTCTCCTCGGCCAGGAGCTCCACAGGGGGGAGCCGGCCAGGGTGGTCGCCGCCATGTATGACATGGTGCGGAACCCCCGGATCGCCCTGATCATAAGGGACCTAAGGGCCTGCCGCTTGCCCACCACGGTGGCCAGCAGCTGAGGAGCCCAGATAGGCGCCACGTTCAGGGCGACAGAGAGAATAGCACCGACATACAGGTGGCGAGCCTGCCATCCTGGGCACCCATCAGCCTGGCCACGGTCAGTCCGGCTTTGCGCACCCTGGGGGCCAGCTGCCTGAAATGTGGCCCGAATGACCACCGCCTGTCCAAAGTCAGGCCGAGATATTTCATCGTCGACCTGACGCAGACGTGGACACCATCGACTAGGACCCGTGTCTCCGGCGGCGCCCGACGCCGGCCGTGAAAAAACAGCCTGCGTCTTCAGGGGCGCCACCTTAAGACCCAGGTCTCCGATGGTTCCCATCACCGATGCCACTGCCACCTCCGCGCGGAAGCGGGCCTCCTCCCAGTTCCCCCTTCGGTCACCACTAACGTGTCGTCTGCGTAGCAGACGACGTGGCAGCCGTCGGAGAGCGGAGTGCGAAGGACCCGGTCGATGCCAATGTCCCATAGTAGGGGGCCGAGCACCGACCCCTGCGGGACATCGCGCTCCATAGTGCGCCAGCCTTGAACCCTGCCTTCTTTGGTGAAGGCGAGGTCTCTGTCCCCTAAGTAGGCGGACATTATCCGCCGGAGATAGGCGGGCACCTCGAAGTGCTCGAGGGCCCGTCCTATCTCCGGCCAGGGCAGGGTGTTGAAGGCATTGGAAATGTCTAGTGACACCGCCAACAACACCCCGCCCCTTATCTCCACGACCGCCCGGGTCAGGTCCCGGACCCACTGGATAGCATCCAGCGTGGATCGTCCGGGCCTGAACCCGTATTGGCGGTCGTGGAGGTCCAGCCCACTCGAGGACATGTGCTGGACAAGGCGGTCCGCGATGATGCGCTCCAGCATCTTGCCCGCGTCGTCCAGCAGGCAAATCGGCCTGTAGGCTGACGCACTACCGGGCTCTTTGCCCTCCTTCGGGAGGAGGGCCAACATGGCCCTCCTCCACTCTGGGGGGAAGACGCCCTCCCTGAGGCATCGTGTCATGACCCTGCAGGTGGCTGCGGACAGGTTCCCTCCGGCCAACGCGAGAGCTCAGGCGCGTCCAGGAATCGCATCGGACCTAAGGGCTTTGCCCTTACCACCGAGCTTTTTCCGGGCCTTGACGAGCTCCTCTGGAGTGACCTCCAGGCCCTCGTCCAAATCCCCCTCCCCCATTTCTGGGGAAGGGATAACTGAGGGGCCCCCTTCCGCCCTCGGAAAGAGGGCGCCCAAGAGCCCGTCAAGGACCTGGGGGTCTAACGTCTCAGTTTGTGGGGGCGCCCAAGGACGGATCTTCCCCATTGTCCTCTTGTATGGGCGCCCCCACGGATCGTCATCCAGAGAGCTCACCAATTGCTCCCAGGCTTCCCGCTTGACCTTTTTTATGGCTTTTTTGAGGACGACCCTGGCGGCAAGGTAGCCCTTGTGGCATCCCTGTCTCGTTGCCGGGCCCGCGTATACGACCTTCTGGCACGGTCGGAGGCACTGCGGAGTACCGCAATGTTCTCCGACTACTAGTACGCCGCCCGGCGCCGACGGGGGTGGGAACGGGTCATCGCGGTGTCACATGCCGACGCCACTATTCCCGTTATTTCCCCGGCTCCTTCCAGGGGGCCGGGGTCCCACTCACCTGGTTCTATGTGCCAGGTGGCCACAAGGACAGCAGCCTGGAACCTGTCCACATCAAGTCGACTAAGGGCCCATCTTTTGGGGAGAGGAAAGTTCCTCTCCCCTGGGCGGCGAGCCGACACCTGTCCTAGGTTTGGGGAGGCGGAAGGCCCAGACTATGTATCTGTGGTCAAATAAAGTCTCTCCCTCCGCCTCCACCCTCCATTAGGAGATCAACCCAGCAGCCGATAGGGAGGCCCAGGTCAAATCATTGACCGATGACCCCCCTCCCGGCCTTATACAGGTGTCGTTGGACTCTCTGTTTACCAACAGAAGGCCCAATCCCGCCGCCCAGCCGATGACCGCCTCGCCCCTGGGATCCCGCTGCCGGGAACTGCAACCCCACTCCTCAGAGTGGGCATTAAAGTCCCCGGCAATCACGACAGGTCAGGGATGGCACTTGCGTACCAAGTCCCCGGTCCTGTCTTAGGGCGGCGGCCCTAAGGCCCTAACGTTCAGAATGGCACAGGTGCTCACCGTGCACGGATGTTTCGGTGAGTACCTGTGCCGAATAGGAAAGGAGCGCACAACGTGCTGCCACCATTGTGGCCACGATCACAACTCCGCGCAACATACGCTCCAGGACTGCCCCGCCAGGAGCGGGCGGCGCGGAGTTGTGATCAGGGAACTGGGCAACGACCTCTCGCTCCCTACGATAGTTGGGGCCATAGTGGGGAGCGAGTGGAAGTGGAATGTGTTCTCCTCCTTCTGCGAATTGGTAATGACGCAGAAGGAGGAGGCTGAGGAGGTTCGCCGGAGGGCGGAAGGCTGAGGGAAGAAAGAAAAAGGAGAATGAGGCACCAGCTCTGGAGGGGAGGGAGGAGCAGGAGCAGAGAGGAGGATGAGGACTCCTCCGAGGAGGAGGCCGTCATGAAGATGATGGGTCAGCCACCACCTCCTCCCCCTCCACTAGCAGCCCCCTCAGCCACCATCGATAGCGTCCAGGAAAGTGCTGAAGGCACGTCGCAACGGCAACAGGACAGCCGGATCGTCAGTAAGGAAAGGAAAGGGGGCAGTGGCAGCGGCAGCAATACCGAAACACCCTCCTTGAGGGTGGACAGAGGAGGGCAGGAGAGTACTAAGTATATCCCCCCCAGCCGTAAGCCGACCCGGAAGAGAACCGGAGTCGGATGAGATTAAGGGGGGAAGGGTGGTGGCGTCGTCACCAAGAACGCATCTCTCCCCCCTCAACAGGTCCTTGAATGGACATGAAAAGAGAGGGGATGGTAACCCCTCTCTTTCTTCTCTCTCCATTAAAAGGAGAGAGATAGTGCCCGGCGGCTAGGGGAGTATATCTCCCCGTAACCGCCGGGCAAGGGGGTGGGGCACTGGGTGGGGACTCCCAGTGTCCCAAAAACCTCCCCAAACGTTGGGCAGCCGGCTGAGAAAGTGGATTAGTCGGCTGCACAACATTACACATAGGCGGCGCTCCGTCAGGCCAGGAACGGAGGTCGAAGCAGGCTACAGCCGGTTTCCCACTTCTTGGTCGCAGAGACGGAGCATAGGTAAGGGATGGAAGGGGAGCGGTGGTTGAAGAGGAGCTTCGGCTCGCTTCCCCCCTCCCCTCCTTCCCCTTGGAGATTCGACAACGGTCGACATTCGGACTCGGGACCCCGATTAGCAGTCACGTGTTGCTCCGGGGTCCCGATCCAAGTCCCTTCGCAGCGCCACCCGGGGAGGTTTTAGCCGGTAGGAGCCCGGCATAACCCCCCACCCTTCCCCGAGGGTGGGGGGTATCCATGATGGATTTCCTCCTCGTCACAAAAAAAGAAAGTACAATTGTATGTGTTGTGTTGTGTCTTTGCTTTATAATTAATTTGTTATAATTTTTTGCAATTAATTTTTATGGGTGGTTTAATTATTTCTCTTGCGCGTACTTGATTCTCTAGGCAATACGGAATATAGTGATTAGATTGTAAATTCTCTATCTTGACTGGTTGAGTGGTTATTTATTCGTTAATTAGTCTGTGTGTAATTTTAGGCAGATCGGGAGGTATGAGCAAATTTTAGGTTCTGAGAAAAAGTTTTATAGTTAAAAAGGAACACTCTAGACTTATTATAATGGATATTTGTTATTAATTATAATTGTTATGAACAATGACATTGAATTTTAAACAATAACGGAATACATTAATTTTGTCCTTTAGTATTTATGTTCAAGAGTTTTTATTGTAATATGGGTCTGCAGCGATTTAATTGTTATTTGCCCGATTTTTAAATAAACAAATTAAAATATTGTATCAAACTAATTTTTAATCGTAAGGGTACCATATTGAGAGTGTCCGACACACTTTTAGCGATGGTGAAAATCCAAATTATTTTAAAAAATTATTTTACAAAATTAGTTTGTTTATGCACAATTTTTCGTGTATTTTGGGTGGCGTTAATGTTGTTCCTGAAGGTTTGAATAGTAGAAAAATAGTTATTTCCCTATTTTAATCAATTTAGTAATTATGATATTATTGATAATTATTTATGTAATAATGTATATCGGTAATGTGTGGATTGCATATGTTATTAGTTTCATCGTAGTTTTTTCATGATTTAATACTACTTAATGAATATTGTCCAAATGGCTTCCGCCATTTCGTGTGTCCTAGTTCTATATAGGGATGTGTTCGAAGGGAAGTGCATCTAGTTAATATATATAGGTTTATGCCTGTCGGTCTCCATTTTGTGCAGATTTTCTGTCAGCTGTCAGTCGTGAGCTGTTAGTTGTACCAGCAGAAAGGGAAGAAAAAGTAAAAATGTATTATTTTAACGTTATTACTAGCATCGGTACATTCGTCCTGTGCCGGTAGTAATAGCGAGTGTGATTCCTTTCGATATGTGTGTGTAGAGGTATAACTATATATGGGAGAGGTTCTTTAATATTGTTTTTGTTGCAGTGTTTCTGTAATGGGGATGTACGCATAAAGACAGAAATTCTGTTGCTCGGGCTCCTCTCAATAAGGGAGATGAGCAAGGTATGTTGGGAGAGGAGATGGAAGAGAAGAGAGGCGGAAACCTTGTGGTTATTTGGCAAGATAGACTTCAGGGAGAATTTCGATGCATATGGTTTAAGGAAATTATTCGGGTAGGTATTTGATACCACGCGCCTTCTCGAGATAAGTAGCTAAATATGTTAATAAATGCGTAAATAACGTAAATTAAATGAATATTTTCCTAGCGGGGCGACTTCCGTGATATGAGGTTCTTTGCTGTCAAATATTTGTTCTTTTTGTTCTTAGAGTATGGTATCAAATTTTGTTAATTGTTATTCCGGTGTCCGATTTTTCATTAAAATTCGAAGTGAATTTATTCGTTTTATCCGAGTCTAATCAGAATTGTGTGTATGTGAACTCTGCGTCTATTGTCTCGGATATACTAGAATCTCAAAATTTATTAATTAATATCTCAGTAACTAATCGAGCTAGACAATTGGTTTTGTGTATGCAAGTATATCTTTTCACTCGCTAATAAATAGTGCACTCAGAATTTGTCCAAGTTATCGTGGAACGAATTTCGCTCTGAGACCTTATCATGCAAAACTTAGTCGGAACGGTATCAATTTTGACACCAAATAATTTATTTCTCAGGATCTAAATGAGATAATTGGCTCGTTCTTTCACGTACAGGTCAGGTTTTAAGCCTTCTTTCTGAAAATTTAATTAGTTTTGTCCCCAGTTACTCAAGGAAAATTTCAGCCCAAAAAATTGATATTCATTGTGTTTGTCGCAAATGTTTCGACATGAAATCTGTACAAGTCTGTAACTTTCGGACTATTTGCTCTACGTTAATGATTTTAGGCTCGTTAGCTTCAGTTTTTCGTCTACTTGTAGGATTTCTAAATAGGAATTAGGCGTGATGCTCGGAACATCCTGCACTATACTATAATTGTTGGATTTTTCTTGTCGCTGAGACAATGAAGCGATATATTAGCCTTAGCATGATTCCACCGTGTACGTCGGCTTTTTTTGGAAAACGCGAGGATTACTTATATTAATCTTGTTTGTTACAGAGAATGAACTAGTTGCCGTATTACACATATATATACACAGTGTCTCATAACTAACCTGGCAGAGCTTGTGGAGACATAGAGCGGGTTAAGACAAATATAAAAGTCCCATACCGTTTTGTGAAATTCGCAATAATTATCGAGTTATTAATGACAGAAATTAGAGGAATGAGCGCGCACCGAGACGTTATGGGAGGAGCATCTAGCCGCTCAGGCTAGAGAGCACTGCCCAGTCGACAAAGGAACTCGCCGGCGCGCGGCGAGGAGAAAGACAACGCGCCAATGTTTATGTCCTTACCTCGCCGCTCCTACATCCCGCCGCACCGCGTCTATGCTCGCGCCGAAATGGTCGCTGAGTATTCGCGATTACAATTACGAGATTATTTTATGAGATACCACAGACAGCTCATATTGAATTGTAAAGTTCAAGGTTCAAAAGTTCTTTGATCAAGGAAAACATCGAAAAGTAAAAGGCGATAGAGAGCGATGAGATCTACAGAGATTCTCATTGTTTTCTATCGCAATCTATCGTTTTGCTGCATCGGATCCGAAAGAAATGATATCGCCTAAAGATAGAGTACGATGAATACTTTTCATCGTACTCTATTGTACTCTATCGTTAGGAGAATATTTAACTGTTAGAGAATGATAGAATTCGCGTAGAGACTCATCGTGTCCTATCGTTTTATTCAAGTCTACACGGAAAATATGTTTGATTGAATGAACCAATTTTCTGACGAAATGAGAGAGAGAGAGAGAGAGAACGATTAAGAAATTTTGATTAAGAATAGCACAATTTTGTTTAAGTTAACCATAAACCTTGATGAATTAGACTCAGTGTTAATATTTTCAGTTAATATTTCTCTGTATCGTTCATATTTCATTTGCAAGCTGTATCATGGACCAAACATTTTTATCATATATCATGCATAAATTGTTGTCTTATATCGTAATTCTTGTCAGTGGTATATTAACGACAGAAGAAACTGAAAGTTCTGTATCGTACAATTGCGAAAAGAGGACCATCGTTGTCAATGGTGCACCAACGATACTCGGCATAAAATTGATTCCTAGGTATAATCGCGATACAACGCAAATCCGAGTGTGTTATTTTGACACGCATAAATGTATGATTGATTGACGCTTTCTTTACACGTTTCTTGTCGTTGAATCGTGCAAAAAAAATATTTTATAGTTAAATATTTCACGCATCTCACTAATTTTTTAATAAGATGCTTACCGAAGGAGAACATAAAGAATCAAGCGTTAATTCACAATTCCTAAAGTAAGAAATGACACGAAACGACAAGAAAATCCGATGCGATAAATAATAAACTTCCGAAAGGGCAATTATTTTATTTATTTTATTTCAGGGTAGTACAAAAACTATCATTTCCACACCACCTTGTGAGGTAGATAGCTTGGCGCGTTTTATTTTTAAGTGGTTTCCCCAGTAGGCCTAATCCACTCTCATTATTTAATTCAATAATTGTTCGAAGTGCCCTCCTTCTGCTTGCAAACAGAGTTCGGCTCTTCGAGTTATTTGTCGCGTCGCACGATGCGCCATGTCCGGCGTGATGGTACGAAAGGCCGCTATAATTGCATCGCGTACCTCATCTCTGGTACCATCATGCCTATGCTCGATTTTAGATTTAAAATGGCTCCAAACAAAGTAATCGAGCACATTCAAATCTGGCAATCGTGCCGGCCAAATAACGGGGCCACCTCGACTCATTCACCTGTCCAGGAAACGCTGGTCCAAAAATTCGCGTGTT